TGACAATCATCCAAGACAACAAGGGATGATGTTATTTCAACACAACAATACTGGTATCCACTTGGATAGTGGATCTACTTTTCATTTGCGAACCAATGAAGATGACTTTAAAGAAGGAAGTCTACAAGGAATTCATGGAGGATTCCATTATGCCTCTAATGTGGAGGGAAGAAACCTTTACCGAGAAGGAATCGATAAGGTATTTGATTATGTGTGTAAGCTTGACACACGAGCTAGCAACAACGTCAACAGTTTGTCGAACATGGTAAAAGATGGATTTGATGTATTTATGGACACGAAGAGAGAGAACAGCTTCTTTGTGACCAGAAACGGGACTACATGGCGATTTGGACATCGCAATGGATTATATCCTCTGGTGGACGAACCTGCTATGGTAACAACAATGTTTCATGACCATGCACGAGGACTTGATAATGATGATGTGCAAGGGTACTGTGCTCTACAGAGTGTGGAGAAGAACAAAGAGGGTTTCACAAACAAACAAGTGAAACGAGCAAATGTTGCACGAAGTGGCTATCATATGATGGGGGCACCTGGTGCAGAATTATTCAAGTTGGCGATTCGGGGAAATTTTTTCAAAAATTGTCCAATAACAGAGGAAGATGTTAATATCTCTGAAAAGATATATGGACCGAGCGTTTCAACAATTAAGGGCAAACAAAAGCAAAAGCGACCAACACCGAAGGCGGTGGTTGATGATTGGATCGAAATGCCCAAGGAACTCCTGAAACACAATTCAAACCTGGATTTATGCATCGACATTATGTTTATCAATAATGTCGCGTTTTTTGTCAGTATTGACAAAGCAATCAAATTCCGATTCAGTACTGAATTGAAAGATCGGACAAAAGATGCTATTTACAAGTCGATTGACGAAATTTTACGCATTTATAATCATGCGGAATTTCGAATCAAAACTATTTATTGCGACAACGAATTCAAACCGGTATTTGATGACATGAAAGATAATATGGATGTGACCATGAATTATGCCGCGCCAGGCAAACACGAACCAACTATTGAGCGCAGCAATCAAACATTGAAAGGATTATTCTGAGCACACTATCATCGAATGGTGTTCAAGGCAATTCCCAAGGTTCTGACTATTGCTTTACTCAAGCATGTGACAAAGTCTATTAACTTTTATCGTGCAAAGGAGGGAATTTCGAAATATTACAGTCCACATATGATTGTGAGACGAAAACCGGTGGATTTTTCAAAAGAATGTGTTGCTGAAATTGGATCCTTTGTACAAGGATATGGTCACACGACTGTCAGATAATCAACTCCGTAGCTGTAATGAGAGCCTCAACGCTCTAGCCACCTCTGGAGTATACTGAGCTCGAATCTACGTCGGCTATGGATTGCCTACAATAGGAACAGGTGCCAGTGATG